TATCTATCTATCTATCTATCTATCTATCTATCTATCTATCTATCTATCTATCTATCTCTCCAGAGATGTTTTGGAAGTTACTGGTGTCCAGTAATGGAGGAATATAGTACACAACTGTGCTTAAATAAAGCAGAAAAGAAAATTTAAGGTATTTAGATTTTTAGTAAGATTAGTATGTTTTCTCTTTGGACTTTTCTGTAATACTAAATGATTTACCACCATAGGTAGATCTAAAAATGAAAAAAAAAAAGAAAAAATAGTAGTCAAGGTCCCACTATTTGTATGATTAGGCCATCCCTCAGAAAGTTTAGTCCTGAAAACCTTTGCAAGCAAACTGCATTTATGACATTTATTCAGGAAGCATATGATTATATGTTGAATTGGAGTTTAAATCAGCAATGTATAATATAGAGGTCATTCAGGAAACAGCCGTTCTAAGCAAAGGTCTTCCAGGCAAATTCTCTGGTTCTCCAACCTTCACCTTCTCCTCAAACTTACTCCTGTCTCCTGCAGACTTATTGAGGGACCAATAATGACACTCCTCCCCTCACCCTCAATTTAATAAAATACTGAAACTGTGTATTATTTTATTGACATTTTAACTTTCACATATCATAATTGCATGATCAATATTTTACATGATTAATGAGAGAAACCAAAAAGATAGGTGAATGTTTGATTTTTTTTTTCCACTACCTACTGACCAAATTCCCTACGCACATCTAAGCATACTTGTTAAATGACAAAATTAATAATCAGCAAAACAATTCAACTGAAAAAAATCTCCTTACTTATACCACTATTTCTCACAAACCCTGAATTTATGCCTGCATCCAAAGCAAAGTCTAGGCAAAAGCCCTTGTAAAAGCCTGATGAAGTGATCAAGCAAAGCTGGAAGATGATGCTGAACTCACTGTAGAACTGTTGAACAAAAGTTCCCCTGTTGAAAATGTCATGGTATCAAAACCAGCTCCTTACTGCCTTTGGACACTTCTCTTGGGACAACAACTGACAGATTTTTGCTCTAATAGTCGACCTCAGATTTCCAGCCATTAAAATGGGTGAAATGAAAATGCTTTATGTTGGTATTCAGAGTACTTTGAAATGGAAAATCAAGTCCATTCATTTCAAATACTCTGTAGTGGTTACTGTTTCATACAGAGCGGACTGTATCAGACCTTGGGGCCAGAATTTCAAGTCTCTATTTCTAGATATGATACTGAAAGCATGTTCATGCTTAATAAAACATGATTTTTGTTGTACCAATGCCTTGTAGCATGTGCAGTATGGATATTAAATCATTAAAACTACTACATTATTTTTTTCATAAGTTGGCAAAACAGAGAAAATAATAGAAAAAGCCTTCACAGTTATCATAAACATGCCATAAACTCTATTTTATGTAACAGAAACACACATTAGCTTCAACTGTGTTAAAAACATTTACCTAATCACAGGGTTTTAATATATTTTTTGTTGTCATCTAATAACTAATGTAATAATTATTCAACTAACCATTGCAAATCCTCTGAAAGAATATATACTTGTTATACCAAGTTTTGTGTGTCACTTCCCTGAATGTTTGATTTTTTTAAAACCAGAATTTTAAAGACACTTGCATTTTTTACATGAAGTCCAGGAATCCAGTTGTTCAACTGATGTTAAATGTCTAAAATTCCATAAAAGAAGATTGAATATTTTCATTAGACAAGACTTTTTACCAATAAACAATGGTAACAGAGGAGAAACTAGTCCTTTCCCCAATTCCATATCTTAAGATAAAGCTGAAGGATTAAAATAAGAACAATAAGTATGTTATCATCTTATTGTTATGAAGTGTATCTCAGTTACATTGAACTATAATAAATGAATGACAGGAAAAATAATCTATTTGGTTGGAATAAGTGTCATACAATACTTCGTAAAAATTAAAAAAAATTTCAGGATAGAAATCCTGAAGTTATTATTATGTTAACAATCTAAAAAGTATCAGACAAAAAATGCAAGCTATTAATTAAATAAACTGAAATATATGAAGAAAAACAAAAGAGGAAACATTTCACACAACACTTAATTTTATTTATTTAGTCTTGTCTCAGGCACTTGTAATATTTAAGTGTTACACAATTACCACAGTACAAAGCACTAAAACCACTGAAACAAAATTCAAAAAGCTCAAATATCTAGCCAAGACAGCATCAATCAAACCTCCTATCAAAAGAAATCAATTGCTCACAGGTACAAAGAATAGGAAAAAAAAAAAGAATAGCAGGAATGAATTACACAGTGGAAAGGACAAAGAGTGGCCAAGAATAAGCCATCCTAAATCACAATGACTGTTTTTATAATATTGTAGGTGTTCACAGTACTTCAGATGCAAACCCAAACCCTGTATAACTCTACAGCAACAGATTTCAAGCATAAATGCTGCCAATTCTCCAAGAACAGTGAGAGAAGGGGACAGGGTACCCAAATAAAGTTAAACATACATAAACCCCACACATATACAGTAAATGCTAGCACATTCTGTTCAGTATATTTACCTTTTAAGAACAAGACTATAAGCATGGAATGAGGTTAGAAAAGGATTTCCTTTTTTTTTTAAAGCATGACACATATAATACATAACCCAGATAATCTTCTCACAGACATTTGAGAATTGACCACAAAGCGAATAAGCCTTGCAGCGTAGCGGGAGTGAATAGCTCATTCTTCTCCAGAAGTGCAAATGAGGCAGGTTCTGTACAAGCTGCATCTTCCAGATCAAGGAGTTCTTTTCAGGATCAAACTGTAAGTTTGGTAAAGGACAGAGACAGATATCATTGTCCCTAACCTTTAGCAGTATCTCTAGAACAGAAATTGTAACATCACATTAGGTACCCAGGATACTTTTCTGTCTCAAAGGGAGATACCCACAACACTTAAAGTTGGTTAAATGAGGAACAAAGTTGCATGCCTTCTTTGAGATGCCTTCCTGGCAACTTTGGAAAGGTACTTCACCACCTAGGAATCCACACTGCAAAAATGATTTTTGAAGGAAAGCTCCTCCGTATTTTTTCCCATAAGAATCTAATAATCCCTTTACTTCCTATCAAAAGAAAAAGATATATCTGCGCAGCCATCGACAGCACACTTCTCAAACCTGTTTCTCAGAGCGAAGCACTGCAGCCAATTTGGGTGTATCTACACCAGTAAATTAAAAAGGGCCAGAGACCAGTCTCCGACCTCTCTCTTTGAGGCCAGAAGGCTCTGACTGGCAGATTTTATACTCCTTAGGACTAGTTGCCTCTAGAGAGATTTACCCTGCAGTCAGCATAGGAAGAGTATGAACTAAGAGTTAAGCAGTGTGAACAGCAAGGATTTGGTGATGAACTCTGCTCTGCTATCTTTTATTTAGAGAATGCTCCCCCCACTACTCTGTGGAAAGAGCATTGTTCGTTCTCCCTAAGAAAATATAAAAGAAAAAAACAACATTTGTAAAATGGGATAACAGAATGTATTATATCGTTTGTCAGAAATTGGGAAAAAAATATGCTTTTGGGACACAAATATTTTTATGTTTCAGCCTTGAAAGCTAAGCACATTTTGGAAGAAATTACTCTTGTTTTAACCTTGTATTAACTCTTGTTTATAAAGATATACCTTACTGTGACAAGATGGATTTGAGATTCATTGGTCCAGAAAGGAAAAGTAAACTAGGAATATGGCTTTCTAGTCTGGTGATGCTGGCTGCTCAGTGATTCTAGGTTCTGTCCTCAAAAATATGTGTCATTTTGGCATATAAGCAAATGATTGTTGAATGTAAAGCTCAGCAATGTGATTACACAAGTAGGGACAAGAAACACAGGACTCTGCCCCTGAAATGGATGCCCTAAACATTCACACTTAGTGGAGGTGTTCATAACTGCTATTGTTCTAGCAACTAGAACCTTCTCCCGGGAGAATGTAAAGGAACAGGGACTGCCCATATGGATATTCTAGCTAGTAAACATGGAAAAAAATAGAACATCACTCTTTTTCAGCAAGAGAGAGAAAGATTTGCCTTATATTTTTTAGGGATCTTGATAGTGCTGGGAGAAAATGAGTATGATAAACTGCATGGAGCCCCAACAAAGCTTAAATAGAGAAAGGCTCCATTTCTGAAATTAAAAGGAATATTAGGCAAGAACTAGGGCATCATGTTGTGTCTCCTACTGTTCTTGGAAAGTGATAAATCAAAGCGCCCATTGAGCAACAAATATTTCCAAGAGTGCTGTTTTGATCTAATTTCCCTCTAAGTCTCAGTTTAGGTACCTAGACCTAATCTTAGAAATTGCACTGCTCTAAAAATACATCCACATGTGGTGAAACGTGTCTACACATCTGCAGTGGCACACACATATCCACATTCTACTGTAATCTCTGTTATCAGCTTAGACAAAATCATTGAGCAAATCACATTAATATTTTCTCCTATCATTACCTAGTTTAGGTGTTATGACTACTCATCACCACTGAGAGGACAAAAAAAGTGAAGATTTGGCAGCTGTGGATGGCAGACAGGCTTTCTTGAATTTAGATGCTGTAGTCACTATGACTAAATACACTGAATAATGCCAAGCTTAAATCATCATTTACAAAATAAGGAATTGATACCAAGCTGATGCAAAGAGGTGTACGATAATGAGGAAGACAAAAGGAACTAAATCCACATCAAGTACTATTATAATTTCATGAATGGCAGTTAGGTACTGACCATTATCTACTTTTTCTTGCAGCCTTTTCTTCACTACCCGCAGGGAACACAATTTCTGATGAGTTTCACCCTATCTTGAGTCAAGTTTCAGGCTCTGAATCAGAAACCTAAAAATTATACCAGGACAAATATCTTTCTATGATCCCATTCCTCTAGCAGATGCAACAAATGAGACACCTTCCTCATCAGTGAAAAATTAAAATTATGCAATAAGAAAGTGTCCATCTCAGCAGTGAGATATTGAGTTTAGTCATAAGGATGTAGAACAATTGCACCAGTGTTAAACAAAGGAAGGGGTGGGAAAAACTTTTAATCTTTGTGTACTTAAATAAGTTCAACTCTAGACCCTGAATTTCTAATTAACTCCTAAAAGTTTGCTGCCATTTTTACGTTGATCTCCTGTCTAAATTCACCATCACACAAGCAAAGAAATAAATAGTGAAGACGTTTAAATGACAGTGAAACAGTAAAAGAACAAAAACCCACAACAGCTATGGAAGTCTATCTCTTTCTTGGAATAGATCTGAATAAGTATCATATTAAAAAATTATCTCCAACAATGCTATGTGTGTGAAGACTCCTTAGATTGCACCGTCTAAAGCAGTTGTGGTAAAAATGGTGTTCTAACCATCCAGGAATTACATGCACAGTGTATTACCATATTCTTGGCAAATCCTTACACAAGGCTAGGACTGAGGTGAATACATGTGTTAATGCTCACCATATTCTTCATACAGATAATCTGTACCGAGTACTTCTCTTGATATGAATAATACATCTTATTACTCACTTCATGACCTATTGAGTAATGCAAGTGTGCTATGCAAAGGTAAAGCCTTAAATCCATATTTGTGCTTTTATTTTGCTAGCTGATTTTTATTTTGTTCAGTATGAAGCACTGTCTTTAATCCTGAAAAGGGCTTGTTGCATGATTCTGCATTGTACCACGAGATTGTTCCATTTGTTAAATGGAGTAATATTATTTTGCCCATCTGGTAAATCGCTCTGGGGTTTGCAGAAGAAACAGGCGTATTTATTTTAACTGTTGGATGTTAGTATCTGCACGAAGACACAGTAATTATATCTTTTGCTATGCCCCTACCCAAGCACACAATATACATATATATAAATAAAATGGAATGTATATTTGACCTTTAAGTCTTGGTTCTGGCATGTTGCATTACTTACTTTATGTCAGACCTGTGTAACATGATACAGATCTGTATTCTGGTATCACTAGTTCGGTCAGAATCAGTGTTTGTTTTACCATCTTGCAAAAGCAATAACTCTTACAGCTGTCCAGATAGATACAAATCTCACCTGAAATATTCAGAATGAATCCTAAGACAGTTTGCTGGTACCCAGAGGGGAAACTGTAGTGCTCTTGCTCCTTTCTTCTACCAAGATCTGAACACAGAGAAAAACAGTATTTACAACTGAGTGAGTTTCCAAACTGCCTAACTTTTCAGTTGTGTGTTTTTTATATGTTAAATATGGTTCAGAAGATTAAAGTCTTCGTTTTAGGCAAAGAAAGGAAATAATGTTTCCTGTCCCATTTGCCAAGCTAAGTGAACAACTGTTCCAGCACAATTAGAATTGTTAATTGATTTGAAAACATAGGGCTTTGAAGGTGGAAAACTGCTGACATTATTTCAACGGGGAAATGCACTCCTGAGAGAGAGCACTGCAGTACAATTTCTCTCCTTGTTTTGTTGAATATACATCTATAAAAACACTGTGAATCATGCAGTAAAAACTGCTGTGCTGATATCATAAATCTCTGATAATAAAAATTTCATTGTTGAAACAATAAAATAGACTTTTATTATAACACAGAGTATCCACCTAAACATTGTCCTTTTAGCTTCTTTGAGTTAAATGTATGCACAGTTTTACAGTCTATAAACAGATCTGGAATAAAAGTTAATAAATGTCAAAATTTGCATTTCAAAAAATTCTTGCTGCATTTTAGGGAAGATCAATCTATGAACCTTTCAACATTATGTCAAATGAAATGCTAATTGTACCTTTAGGAATTTCAGAGACAGTGACAAGAAACTAAATGCTCTGTTCCTTTGCATCAGCAAGTCGAGGATAATTGTATATCTACTCTTGTGAACTTCTAAGAAAAAAAGAAATGCTAAGGAAAAAGAGTTTTCTATTCTTTAACTCAGGAGAGTAAACTCCTTCAGCCACCCTTCATCAATCTACCTTCAAATAAATTGTGTTAACATGTTGACAATGGACAAATCACACAGAGCTACATTTATTCATTTTATAATAGGTTTGTCAAATGAACTTCAGCTAGAGATTTAAGAGTGAGAAACATTTCCACCTAGGAACAACAGGCTTTTTCTATCCAAGTTGCTAGAATGGTTTGTACATAAATTTCTTTTTTTGGAAACAACTACCTTTCTCCTCCCTCCCCAAATATTAATAAGGTACTACTTCTTTGAAGGGTAAAAACACTAAATATATAAAGAAGACACATAAGAGGTTTTTTATATCCTCTCTAGATAAATTCATAATGCATCCCTTGTTTTGTTTAGGAATCAATCTTATCAGTTTATCTCTAAGCAGTACAAATTGTATGCCATAGTGGTAAGTGCAAGAACACACTCATGCGATAAGGAAAACTAGCTGGAAAGTAGCACCTAATTCAGGTTTGCAATGTCTTCACTGGTATTAGCCTACCCTCACTATTGGAATATATTTCCTACAGCTACACTGAGACAGTTGAAACATTCACTTTCTGTGTGGAAATTGAAAGACAGAATAAACCCAGGGAAATGTTTATGGTCATGTTAACTTATTCAGTCAGCTGGACTAGGTATCTTCTAACTCTCTAAATCCTTTTATAGCATACAATCTATGGTTTCCAAAACAGAGACCAGTCTCATCCTGCCTTTCTGGTTTATGGTCTATAGGCCTACATTTGTATATTTTAGGTCATTCAGTGTAAAAATATTTCAAACTGTATTTCATTTAGAGGTTATAAAATGCAGCTACACTTCAGAGCTAGAATTCAGATTGGTGAAACTACTACTCTTTGTGTTACCACTGTATATTTGAAAAGGAAGCTGGAGATCTTACATTTAAGTATTTGAGCCAGATCCTGCTGTCACTAAAATTGGAAGCAATTTTGTCTTTGGTGTGAATAGGAATTAGATGGGATCCTTGTATTTATAGGCCTGCAAGAGTATGTAACGACTGACATATTTTTAATTTACACTAAGTAAATGTGAAATTATGTGTTCAGAAGTGATATATTTAAGTAATTTCAGCTCTGTGTAATCTCTCATTGCTAGAACACAAACTACTCACTGGCTCAAATTTGATATCCATCAATTTTCTTTCAAAAATGTTAATCTCTATGCCATCTCCATGCTATATAATAGCTAGATAATCAGAAAATGTGGTAAACATGGACCTTACATACCTAGTACTTCTTTTTATAGCAACTATTTCCCAATGTATGATTCCTCTGTTCTTCAGTAAAACCAATTCCTGATGCTCTGTTTTAACAAAATGTTATTCAGGTTCGCATTCACTAAAGGTATATTGGAACAAGAAGCAATACACATTAGAAATAAAAGAATTTTACAAACAACATTTTACAAACAACATTGTACTACAACTTTTTGGGGTAAGTGTATTTCAGTATGCCTGTCAAATTTTTAACCAGAATTTCAGAACATATTTTATGGATTTAGGCAATTCACTGGGGCCCTTTCTTCACCAATATATCTTTCACAAATATAAAGTTTTCAATCAGGTGGATTTTTATTTTCATTTGACTTCCTGTCTACATAAAAAAGAGAACAGATAGGAAACAGACAGAACTTTCTTAAGCACTATGTTCATATCTTTTTTTTTTAGGAGTCAAAACTGCAGGCTAATAAAGACCATTTAAAATAAAAGGGACCATTACTCCTCAGTTTTATATGAGCTTACATGCTTTCATTGTGCAAAGTGTGTTATTAATTTAACATGCCAGATTCATAGGTTTCTGCAATATCAGGTTTGATGTATTCATTATCGGCACTCAGTACATTAATTCACGCTGAAGTCCGGTAAATCAAAATTATACCATCTGGCTTCCTGTTCTTAATGATGAATTTGATGTAGGGGTGATTAAGATTGTTAGGCTTTTGAATTTTAATGTAAAAATTAGGGGATTAAAAAGGCATTTAGAAATGACCAATAGTTAGAATAAACTTACTGACAGGATCTAATTTGTGTACTTGCTAGTAAAGCTCCATTTTAATTAGCAGCTACAGTCTTTCAGCACAAGCTCAAAGAGACAGAAGTTTAGTGATTAAGAAGATGAAGCTGTTAAATTGATAAATTGACCTTGAAATACTTGTAACTGTGGGGGATGGCCTAGTAGTTGTATGGTTGGTACGTTGTGCTACCACATAGGGGAAAGAGTTTTGCAATTGACCCTGGTAATTCTGCCTTTTTAGATGATTGACCAGCTGGGGATGGGACAAATCACAGAGGTGACCCCCTCAATGTCTAAATTCAATAGCTCAGTTCGCAAGCAAACAAATTCCATTATTATTCAGCACTTGCTGGCAGATAGCCTGAAATACCACCTCAGTTCTTCAATATCTTACTCACTACCTTTGCCAGAGAGAGGTGCTAAAACAAGGTAAAAACGATAATGGGGTTGAAACGACATCATAAGTTGAATGATGACCTGTCAAATTCCATTGAGAGCAAAACAGTCAGAGACAAATTTGGCTCTCACTTGTCAAATGTTCTTGACAGTGGCCAAGCAGTCAAATCTTTGACAAGACAATTCCATTGTACCTATGATATTTTATTAATCTAAAACAAAGACATTGCATATTGTTGCATGGAAATTGCTAGAAATCTTTAACAGGACAGATAAAATATGTAAGAGCTGTAGCATGCAAGGGGAAGAGAGTTCTGCTTAGGGTGGTTGAGCTTGTTAGAACAGCATGACATCATGTGGAATCATATTAGGGCCAACAAGCTAAGGCAACTCAAATTCATGCACATAGTATGACTGAAATAATAAAAAAAGCTATGTTCCCATGTTTTGGCAAAGTTCCAGTTGTTTGTAGCATCTCAGAGAAATGTGATAATATGTTAAATCTCACCTTCCCTTTAAAAATCCTAAGGGTAGTCACTCATATTGGTACACTGTGGCAGGTATAACTTACAAGAGAAAACGAGTACATTTGTACATATCAACAGTTTGAAGGATTCTTATTCCTTGGCAAGTCAGGGAATATTTTAAGTCTTATATTTCAGAGGAAATCGAATCTTGACTAACCACTGCAATTTATGTCATTTTAAATAAGATATATTTGAATAAGTATATTTTTCATGCCCTAAAAAGACTGATGTCTTCTTTTATAAGCTCATCCTGTGACACACTTGAGTAGGTAGGTATATTGATTTTTTTTCTTTTTCTGATGGCAATGAAGTGTAAATGGAAAATATCAGACTTGGCAATCACTTAAACCATGTGAAAATTTCAGAGTGAAGGCTATTAGAGTCACTTTGTGATCTCCCTAGATGACCAAGGAAAAAAACATTTCTACATTTCTTCAGATCCTTTGTGTGACAGCTAAGGAGAATAACATTTTTTCTAATATGCCAGTTTTACTCTCTAGTTGAGAATAACCTCAGTGCTTTCTTATGTCACTAGCTGAGAGAAGATGAAAGACCCAGCCTTGTGTAAATGGCTTTGTCTAACCATCAGTCTTTAGCTCTGCATGGCAGCTGTACTATTGACATTAGCTTGTGCACTGGGTGAAATTGAAGTGAGTTAAATGTGACCTTGGCTTAGTTGTTGAAGTAGAAATGAACTCTACTGGGAGTGAAAAAAAATAAGACCAGTTTCTCTAACTTCATTTTTTCTTTAATGAGTTTAACAGCACTCTTAGGATTTGGTACATTTTATAAAAAAACTTTTATTTCCTTTTCTATTATACAGTGAGTAATCACCATTAGTAAGGTTAGCTTGCCCTTTTAGAATAAAATCATGATTTTAGGTGTTTATATCCCAATTACTATAAAAAGCAGATCTCTCTCTCAAAAAAAAAAAAACCCACTGTCTTTTCTCTATGTTGTCTGCTGTACCATTTCACAAAAACCTGTTACCACACTTATTAATTATAGCTAAAGCATTAAAAAAACTGTCAAATGTTCGGTGCTTCTAATGACTTTACATTTTCTTCAGGTTACATTGAAGTTATCTGAACTACTTACTGGTAAATCATATGCTCATGTGGGAAACATGCAGATAAGTGAGGATAGTTTGGACCCAACCCAGGATTTTCATGTTAATTATATCCTGCTGTGTTTATATCCCTCTGTGTGTACATGACAACATGAGATGTCTGAAGATGGGCGCAAGAATCAGGAACAACCAGCCACATTCTCACCCAGGTGTTCAGTTCATTGTGTATAAGGGTTTAACTGCAGATCATAGAATCATAGAACAGTTTGGGCTGGAAGGGATCATCTAGTTTCAGCTCCCTCTATCATGGGCAGGGATGCCACTCACTAGATCATGTTGCTCTGGGCACCATCCAACCAGGCCTTGAACATCTTCAGGGATGGGGCATCCACAAATTCCCTGGGCAGCCTGTTCCAGTGTCTCACCACCCTGGTATTAGAGAATTTTCTCCTAATATTGAAACTAAATCTTTCCTCTTTTAGCTTAAAAATGTTCCCCCTTGCCTGATTGCTATCTGCCCATGCAAAAAGTGAATCTCCCTTTTTCATAAGCCCCCTTTAAGTACTGGAAAACAATGAGATCCCCCCAGAACCTTTTCTTCTCCATGCTGAACAACCCCAGCTCTCCCAGTCTGTCTTTGCAGGACAGATGGTCAAGTACTCTCATTATCTTTGTGACCCTCCTCTATACTCACACTAACAGGTCCACATCTTTCTTATGCTACGGACCCCAGAGCTGTAGTCCAGGTGGGGTCTCATGAGGGTAGAGTAGAGGGAGAGAAACACTGCTGAAGTCTGCAAACACACATTGCCATCTTTTCATCCACCTTCTCCTCAGGGCTGCTGTCAATGACTTCTTACAGTCTGTACTCATGTCTGGGATTACCACAGCAGCACTTTGCACCTGGACTTGTTGAACCTCATGAGGTTCTCGTGGGCCCACTTCTCAGGTCCCTCTGGATGGCACCCCTTCTTTCTGTTGTGTCAACTGCACTGCTCAGCTCTGTGTCATTCACAAACTTGCTGAGGGTGCACGCAATCTCATTGTCTTGAGAGACTTGAGAGATGTGGGAAGTCTGACTGCCAGTGAAGACGCAGGGGAAGGACGTGCTGAGTAGCTCAGGTTTCTCAATATCCGTTGTCACTGTAGCTGTACTGGGCTATGTATATCAGATGCTCCCACTAGTCCACAAGTTAATCTCAGTGAAATCAAACAGAAGTGTAAACCTCACATTCACTGTTGAGGTAATGAAGCAGATATATTTTATAGGAAAGGATTTCAGAGGAAGCTACGTAGTTGGGAACCAGAAGATGAGCTGTTCTGAGGCTCTGTGGACTCAGAACCATCACAGGAGAAAGAAGGCCAGAAACTTTCAGAGAAAGAATCAGCCGCAGAGAGAGAAATCTTTCCCTACCTTCCTGACTGCTGCTGAGAGATCTCAGCTCTGCTTCTCAGAGTGAAGGTAGAATGCTCCGATCTTGGAAAATCTAGTCTTTGGTGCAGCAGTCCCAAAACTGAGCATACCTCTTGATAAAGAACAACATGGCGGGAGACCTACAACAAAAATACAATGATAACAGTTTGGGTGAATTAGGCAGGACATTGACTGCAGCTGTTTATCAAAAGACATTGTTCTGAGCATTTTGGTAAGCATTTTTTTTCCCAGAAGGTGAACTTCAGTGAATTTACATCCAGAGAACTGAACGGTATACTATCATAAAGTACCTGAGGTATCAGTCAACGTAATCAGAATGATAACTAAAAACAAGTGAAAGCTATTTTGTTTTGGGCAGCTTTATTTTTTTTAATGTTGATATATGCAGAAGCCTGTTAATTTCAATGAAATCCCTCTGAAGAAAGAACTGAGTCCTTATCAAAATTTTCTTATTTGATATTTTTAACTCTTTAGTTTTGGGGTTTATGCCCAATAAAACACTATTTTGCTGGTCATATTTTTACATCAGTCAAATAATTCCCACTCAATTGTATTTCCTGAGCCTTCTTATGTGGCCCTAATTTCAGTTTCTTACAATTTACTGCTTATAAGCAATGGGTCAAAGATTTACGTGATATATTCCCTACATCTAGATTTTCTGTATTGCTGTTTGAAAATTGAAAATCTTTCTTTTCATCTTCAGTGTCTTTCTCTTATATTTTTCTGCATTATGTCATAACCATATATCTGTCCTTGGTCTTAGCCTTTCCAACTGCTCTTTATTTTAGTGTCCACCTTATTCATTTTGACTTATTTTCGAGTTTTGTGCAGTCATCAAATTTCAGCCTGTTACTGCACATTCTGTGTTTCATGTTACTTTTATATAAGGTGAATGAAATATGTCTTATTAGTGTTACTTTGGCCTTATACTTGTCTGATACTTCCCTCATTCACAACTGTTAGGACTTATAACTACCCTTTATAATACATATGTCAATCCTTGGGACATTAATGTAACACACTGTCAGTACCATAGATCACTGGGTCTACAGCAAACTTCTCTTGAGTTCTCTGAAAAACCTTTGCTAGGAACTCAAGAGATAATTTTTCTGTAGTTTTTGCCTGTTTTAATCCATTTGAATTTCTTTTTTGCAAACTAAGCAAAGTATCTCAATTCTGTAGTTGTCATAGTTTCTTTTTGTTGAAATTAATTAAGTTCATAAGTCTTCTGGATTAGAGGATTATATCACAGGAAAATCCTTTGATAAAATCAGGAATGAGTGGAAACTTTGTATTGTCAGAGTTTTAGAAATCATATGTGGGGTCAGATTTATGTTTTTAAAGAAAAGCTGTCAAGCAAGAAGAGTTGTGGACTGGAAATTGCAGCCATTTCAAGCATCCTGTAGGTGAGCGGTGCAGGACTAGGACATTCTGGACTGTAGAGAAAATGCCTGGCAATGTCAGATTCAGCCTTAGAAAAGCAGATGGCCAGAAGCAGTGACACAGATAAGTCCCTGGAATGCTGAAAGCATCTCCAGCACACAGAACAGAGAATATATGGCTATGTGTATTAGTGAGCATTTTCTCAGTATTATCAAAAGAGTGCACATTTCCATAACCCACCAAAGGACTTGGTAAATGAACCAGTTCATGACAGAATAGAATTATAGAACAACCCAGGTTTTAAGGGATATTGAAAGATCATCTGGTCCAACCTTTCATGGGAAAGGGAGCCCAGATGAGATTACTTAGCATCCTGCCTAATTGCACTTCCAGGAGTGAGGACTTCACTCATTTTTCTCATCATAAAAAATTTCTTTCTTGTATCAAGATGAAACCTCTCCTAAGGAAACTTGAAGCTGTTGCTTCTTGTCTTCTCTGTGTCATTCTTTGTGAAGACAGAGCCTCCGTCTTCTTTGTAGCTGCCCTTTGAGTACTAGAATACCGTGAAAATGTCACCCTGCATCTTCTATTCACCAAGGAGAAAAGATTGAACTCCTTCAGTCTTTTCTCATAAGACAGGTTCCACAGCCTTTTGATCATCTTTGTGGTCTTTATTTGAACTCTTTCCAGTACACCTCTCCACCTCTTTCTTGAACTGTGGGGAACCCAGTCCTGCCAGGTCACAAAATCACAAACAAATGGTGGTACTTCTTCAGAGAGGGGAAGGAGTAAAGCTTACATTTTGCTCTCATTCCTTTTTTTTTTTTGTTTGGTTAGGTGTTTGGGGTTTTTTTGTTCTATATTTTTAGGTTCAGTTTCATTGTTAATTCTCTTTGACATCTTACAGATTTTTTTCTCTCAAAATACATGATCAAATGCTTTCAATGTCTTCATATTGTTAGAATTGTATAGCAAAGTCTCCAATGTTTATGTACATTAGTAACGATCACCTGTTATAGAGCTCATTAACAGGGGAAAAGCACCAAACTTAGGAAACACAGAACTTAAAGGTATTATTGATAAATAATCATTCATATGGTTTTAAGATAGAAATGTACTTCTGAGTAATTCTGAAATTCACGCTCATGGCCTTGTACAGCTTTAGAAAATCCATGTAATTAATTGATGTCTTTACCTTTCAAAGTATTCCGTTCACCTTTCATCTTACAAGTCAAGCTTTCTAGATTTTAGCTAGATCACTTCTTAAATATGTGCTACTTTGCCCTTTTCAGTTCCAAAGAGATTATAAATAAACTTCCTAAAGGTTTCCCTATCTCTTCTGGGACGCTTCATCAAATGTGTACCTTCTGGTCCTTTAGTTTTGTCAGTCTTTAAATGTTCTAATTTCTAGGTCACCTCTTCTGGCACGATCTTGAGTTTCTTCAGTATGCTTTCCACCTCTGCTGTTAAATTTATGTCTGTTTCTGGCATCTGTTCCCAATCCTCCTCTGTGAACACTGAGGCTCAGAATTCATTAAAATTTTTAGTAATGCTTACCTAGGCTGTCAATAAATTACTTTCACTATCTTTTTGAGGCCTTACTGTTTCTTTTGCTGATGTCTTGCTCCTATTAGTCAATTTATCCTAACTTTATCCTGTTTTCTCCTTTCTTTTACAACAACATAACTCAGAAGCCACTCTGTTAAAAATTATTGTAGGAACTGTGCAAGAAAGCAAATCAACCAATCTTTTAACTTCTTTTGTTTAGTCTTACTCCTCTTTTTCCTCCATGTTGTTGACTACTTTTTGTTCATTTTGAAATTTTCCCTGGCTACTGACCTATTGTAAAGAGGTGAATTTCCTTTAGGCAGATCCCTTTTCTAATACTACCCAAAGATGTTATGCCTTCCAAAGACGTAGTAGCTTGGATTCTAATATACTCTGTACTTGGTCAATTATTTTAATTCATGCAAATTAAATGTAAAGTCATAGAAAAAGCTATTGAAACACTCACCTTGCCTGAATATAAAGATTTATCAGACACAGATCAAGTTCATTTTATCAATGAAGCTGTTCTAGGCTGCTATGCATTTTCTTCCTCCCATTGTTTGTTGAAATATTTGAGGGAAAATACCTAAATGAAAAATCAATTCAAAAATTTGCAGTGTTGTGAGTGGAACCTTAGGGTCCGCTGAAAACTGAATGCAGACATTGCCAGCTAATAACAGCTGCAAATCAACTTAACTATGGTTTATTTGTATAAGAGTTTTGCATGATGTGAACTAAATGCTAAAGATAGCAATAATGTTTGAATAATATCAATAGAATCAGTACAGCTTTGTGCATGGATGCTTTTATGTCTCTTTTAAGATTCTGTAGATCAATTAAGATTGAACCAATGTAACTATATAACTCTTTTTAAAATTTTTAAACAGTACCTAAAAGGATCTGGGCATTTGTACCTTTCATTTTGAGACCAGCTATAACTCTAGATGCAACTGTACACCACAGTCATTAACCTGTTTGAGACCCTGATAAATTCAGAGCTCTAACAATTATTACTATTGATGTCATCTTTGCTATACTTCTTGAATTTGCATACACACATCTTAGAAAAACCCATGAGTGCCTCATTACTTTCAAAAATTTTCATATTTACCTGGTTTTATCTCTTTAAGTATTGTGAATTTTTCTTTCCTTTCCACACTCCCCCTACCCCCAGGCATTTTGTTGTCTGTTTTGTTATTTGATATTATTGTCACCTTGTCCACCCATCTGCTTCTTCAAGCTATTTCTTTCCTCATTTTTGACAGTGTCTGTATAATGTTTCTCACACATCTGGTTTCTCTCCTGTATACAGGCTTAAGCCCTCCCTCATGTTTCTGTGTATCCTCTTAGCATCTGGTAGATCACTGCCTCTTTGAGGAGCTGCCTATTCAGAAAGCAGCTTTCTGCTGCAGTGTTGTGAAACTCCAGGTAGGCTGGGGTGAAGCTACAGTGGAAAATAATTATTATTCAGTATCTGATGCAAAAATTCAGTACATAATGAAAGAATCTATTGTTATGCATATACTCATGTGAACAGTGTGAGGGTTTCTTGAAGAAACCTTTGGTTTAAACATTTCAGTTAAAATCTCATTCTTAATGTTACATCAGTATAACTTTTGGATTCAATAAAAAATGCTTTGAGAGCTTTGAGAGTACCATTTTTATAATAATTATCCTGTTTATTTTTCACGGTACTCCTAGAATGCTTTTACTTACATGTTTTCAGAACCTCTACCACTTAGGACTAGTTAATAAAGACATAATACCACATAGTCTTATCCAGACCAATATATCGTCCCTATGGGTTTTTTCCCTCAGTATTTTTCCTCTACAAAGAGACATACCTACCTATTCCTTGAACTCGTGGATGCTCCTTCCTCTTTCCCCATCACTGTCCCATATACAACCATTCTTTTACTGTGCTACCAGTTTAATGCAATTCTTCTTATTGGTGAAGCACTGGTGTAAGACCGTCTTGATTCACATTTAATAATAATATACATTACATCTTTGTATTTATGCTTGGTTTCAAGATTTTTCTTATGTCTTACAGGAAAATACTTGCCACACATAGTACAGAAGTGCACCCTGCACAAACACTAAGTGGAAGAGCTTTGCAGAGTAGCATTTGGAGGAAGGGAGTCCGACAATCTTTCATCCATGCTACGGACTTTCTTTCCCCCTGCACTATGCTCCAGAAACTATACAGAGTTTGTATCTCAATTTGCTTGTAAACATATTGCTTGCTTCATGGCTTTGGTGGCTCAGCTTTCCTTTGACTCAGACCCACTTCTTCTTCCTCATTCCTTGCTCCCAGGAAGAACTCTGATGCCTATAATTTCTCTGTGATGCACAGGGGGAGCTGGAAGCACCCTCTGTTAGTCATTGTTTGTCAGACATTAAAATCACTGACAGCTTAGAAGACTTTTTTGTCTTTGCTAAAATAACTGCTTATCTCTCATCATAAGTGCTACCTTGGTCCAATAATGCAGGCACAACAGATCTAAATTCAATCAGTGTGACCATCCTTGACAGATCTACACACCTTCTGCTCTCTGAGAAGTAGAGTAAGCACAAAAATTGATTCATTTAATGTTTGCTTTCCCTTTTGTAATCATGCACACCATCCAGTCTGGGAGATCTAGAAGACTAGTCTTCAAATTTGTTCTTATTTTATATATTTAATCCACCTTTTTCTTCTTTAATAGGATGAAACATATATTCAGGTATCTTTTTGTGTTCTGCTATTATTCCAGTGTTTTGTCCATTACCCTATTATTTTTGTCATTCCATGACTGTAGCTAAGAAATTTATCTCTGGTATAGAATCTTGTCAGCTGCCTTTTTAAAATCTAAGTATAGTAACATGCATTATCTGTCATGGCAGTAATGTGTAAAAAAAATTCCGTAAGTGAGTTCAGTGTGACCTCTCTAGCCCAAGTCCACATTGTTATCACTGTTTCAAGGAGTTTTTCATTAAAAAACAAAAGGTGGCTTTGAATATTTTGATTACTTAAATTCTAATTTCTTAGGTTGCTTCTTTTTTCTCTTTAGTAATTAATAGTTTTAGAACTCTTTACTTCTATCTCTAAGAATTAGAAAACTTTTAGCAAATTTCTTTGGAAAGAAAAAAAAGTGATTTCACTGAGATCACAGTGACAAATTTATTTGGACAGAGCATCTAAAAATATTTCAGTAGTGTTATGTAAATAGTAAATGCTGTTGGAAATAATTTGATGCAAACCTAGCAAGAATCTTTGTATCTGGATCACTATTCCTGCTCAGGTTAGTGCCTCTACATCAGGAGAACTGTGAAGTAACACCAGGAATTTTCTAGCTCCCCTATGCTTCTAAGCTACTCCCCATGGAAAGAAGTTACAGGAAACATGTTGTATTAGCAGTGCCCTTATTTTAAAAATGGAAATGCTTTGGCAGTAGATAGGGTCTTACAGTATGCCCTGAAACCGGCAAATTCTCTTTGCCCAATTTTGATAAACTAATATCTTCATTGTTTTATCTTTGGTGCTTATGTGTTTTATATAGGCCTTTAGAGGCTGTAGAGTTCCACAGAGGCCTCACAGTTTTGACTGTTAATGACAAAAATGTGCAGTCCACTGATGTGGTACACTTGATCTGCTATGGATGCTTAAAAAAATCTCAGCTATATTTATTCCATTACTACTCATTTAAGATCAGCTGAATGCTGTTGGAGGCAATGGAGTTACATGGGAGTAAGTCTGACACAAGTGAAAAGAATCAGACCCATCATCATCTTTTCTACTGAATATTCTATTGAACTATTGTAAATGACATCCAGAGCTGAACCAAAGATAACCACATTTTAGAGTGATATAATATTATTATGTTTCTGAGTGGGGCACACTCCTTATGCCCAAATGCCAGAACTATTACTGAGAAAGGCTTCTTGATGTGGAAGGAAAAATGAGGTCATAGGAGGGAGCAAGGAGAACAATATAACACAATTGTAAGAAGAGACAGAAGAACATACTATGTTAAAATTGGAGCCAAGAGGTGTCATGATGAAGAGAAGAGAAACAGTAATAATTTGCATTTTGTGCAGCACCTTTTAGTCAAGAATATCAACATACTTTGTAGCTTAGCTTAGCTTTATCTGTTGCTATAAATAAGTACTAGTAACCCATCTTATGAGTAGCATGTGGAAGACTGTATGCTGCTTCCCTGAAGAGCAAGTCCAGAAGAAGCTGAACACATTGGTCTGACTCCTAACACATAGCCAATAAAACATGCTCCTTTGAAGGACATGGAAACATAAAGTAAAAAAAAAAAATGGAAGAAACAAAATTATGCAATGAGCCAGGAATACAACCTTCACCCTAGACTTTCATGAAAGCCTATGTTTGTTCCATCTCTGTTGCTTTTATAGCACAGCCATAACTCCCAGCATTACTGGGATTTGACTTCTAAGGTTTACTTTGATATTTCATTCTGGAATGCAATGACTAGAAGAACAAGGAAGACAACTAATTCTAACCTACATTCTTATTTTTCTAGCACAGTTACTATCCATGAGCAAATAATTTAATCTTAACAGTCAGGTCCTTGAATTCTAACTCAAAATAATGGCTATCAACATGACTACTGGGGAGTATGTACATCATATAGACCTGCAGAAAAGTATTTATATCCTCTGGGAATCTCATTTGTGTTCCTTCACTGGGAATCCAGAGTCAGAACTTGCCTCAGAAAATCAGTGTCAGTGTCCTTTCTTTCAAAGAATTATGGACAAGGCACCCTTTTATTTCTGGATGCTACAGACGACAAGTGCAATTTCATCTTACAGTTTAGTGACTAGAAGAGTCCTAACTCACTCACTGCTTCAGTTTGAGAAGGTTCAGAGTAATGATGTCAGGATTGTCATTTTGCCTTGTAGGCACAACTACCCACCAGTTTCAAAGAAATCAAGAAAAATACATTCTTCTGACCTTCTCCCTAAAAGATTTCTTTCTTAGTTAGAGAACTGTCAAGTGAGCAGTTCATCTGTTGGCCTAAGTAGTAGATTGAAGCCTGACTGGACAAAGAAAAGAACAGGAAGTTGTAGGAGTGACAAAATGTCCGAGGTGGGTTTGCTACTTAGAGAAACATTTGTTTTATCATCGGCCAAAACACCTTCTCCTTCCATCTCCACCTAATTTTTCTCCCTGTCCTATGACTCCTTCACAAGTTTTTTGCTTCCACAGCCAAATGAAATGTTGAGTCTGCTGACTTTGAGGGGAAAGAAATCCTGACTGAGACTGGGAACAGGCATCTGTTTAACATTTAATGAGCTCAGCTCAAAGTTGTATCACCAGCTTTCCCAGAAAGAGCCCTAACCAGGAGGTCTGAGGCTACTGTTCTCTGCCTTCCAGTTCTATGCTTCTTTGGTGTTGTAAATGGTTCAGTATCTGAAATAGAGAGATGAACACAAAAAAAAAAAAAAGGGAAAAAAAAAGCATGTTTGTGAATGTTGTCATTAATGGCAATGTGCCATTTATACATTAAGTAACTCATGATTATAAATGTCTGCAGTGTCAGTGTCAGAACAATGATCTAATCAATGCACTTCCTTAAAATATGCGCGTATGGAGGATTTCTTGATTCCTTCTGAACCAGTAAATCTCAGGGCCTTGCTGCTCTTGTGTTTAAGTGGTTCATAATTTTGTTGTAAGCTAACATCATTTTCCATATTGCCGGGGAATTTCTGTTCCATGGGTTACAGTGTATTTTGGACTCACATATGGTTGGTTCCTGATGTCTTTTTCTGACTCTGTGCACAGCAAAGCATTCACTGAAAGGTCTAAAATCTACTTTAGATCTACATTTAAGTATGGAGGGAAGAGTGTTATATGGGGAGCAAGACTTCTGAATGCATTTTTGTGTTTTTGTGTGGGTAGAGCATTTTGGACCACACAGAACTCTGACTCAAAAAATGCTGGTAAAGTATTGGGGAATACAACTCAAAAGAAGAACAAGAGAATACGAAAATATCAGTATCGGCATCTGGATGCTTTTGCGTGCAGTTCAAGGCATCCATCTCTTTAATATGATACACCTCAAATTGGACATAGACCTCATATCTATCTACAAGGCTTTTTATAGGACAAAACAGTAGAATCTGTAGGAGACAGATTAATACAGTATGTTGAAAAACATGCTGCCATAACAACAGAGAATAGAAAACAGCACTTACTTCTGCAGTGATGTACAGATAAAAGAAAGGTTATGGGTTGTCAGTGTGGACTGCTAAATTTTCCTTCCAAAAATAAAACCAAGTGATAAGAATCTGAATCTGAACCATTTACATAAAAGTAAATATACTGACTTGGTGGAATTGTTCTGAATGCAACTGAGACTGAAATCTGACTTAATGTTCTCTTCCTATGATCAGAGCTAATTTAACTGTAGGAGCTACATGGGACTTTAACATGATCAGAAATTAAACAGTGTAGTAAACTTTAATAGTGAAAGAGTAGAGCAACCTGAGTAGCATTTCTTTCTTTGTTGCTCTAGCTTTGATGAGTATTTTAGAAACAACAATCTCGAGCCTTAGTTCCAGTGAGGATAGTATGTATGAAATCTGACTTGCCACATCTTACAGAAAATTTTCTGCATGGTGACCTTTTGCCAAAACAAATTGTATGAAGTTGCTAGCGTTTGCAGGTAGTTGGCAGTTTGCTGTCCAAAGCAAATATAAGAAACTCAATGTGCAGTGACAGTTATGAAAACTGTTGTGTCTAAACAAACTTATCAGAACACAGTTCATAAGACAACTGCTTTATAAATTGTTTGTTTAAAGAGTGAGCTTATGGGAAGAAATATTGCATAACTCAGTCTTAAAAATTGAAGAATCTGCTTAAATATGATAATATGGTTCTTCTAAATACATCTTGAATAAATCATATATTCATTTATATTTTAATACACATGTATAAACTTATACCTTATGCAACATTATCTTTTCTGGTTGGGATGATAACATGGACAAAATCACATCTCTGACTCAGGTGAAGTACCATTTCACATTAACAAGGACAAGATTTTTTGAAATTTTTGATGGGT